TAATAAGAATAATAATAATAAAATTAAAATAATAATCTACACTGTTGTTCAATTTAAAATGCAAATAGGTTTTTTAAGGTTTAAAGGGAATTCTAATTTTATTTATGAACCCAATTTGTGAAATTTGTGAACAATAAAACGTAGAATTGGACGACGTGATTTGAGCAATCTTTTGTGTATTTGATGTTGTTATTTTACTTAAAAATCTCAGTTTAAATCTTCAAAATATTCATTGCATATTTATACAGGCAGTTCCTCGATAATTTTTGTTTTTACCCTTCACTCCATTGCATATATCACCTTTATTTCTCACATTTCTGTGATTTAAATAACCAAGTTTTCACTTGCATAATAAAATGATACAATGTAAAAGTACAATTTTACACTTTATGTGTACTGTTTACAGCTCAAGTACATAAAAATTGTATACATATTTAAAACCAGAAGGAAAACTTTTATTGTAAAATGAAGATTTTAAAAAACGTATTTGCATAATAACTTGAAACGCTGTGTATTGTTAAATGCATTGTGATAAGATGAGTTTATGCAAAATAAATATTACTGAAATTATATTATTAACATGATAAGATCCTTGATCTGTATTATCTATTTTATCTTAATCACATTATGTATAATTATATTATATGTAATCTTAGTCTATAAGGAAAAGGGAATACACTTTTTTTCTCATCTTTTTTAACTAGGGAAACAATTATTAATATTTAACTCACGTTAAACTAAAGAGTCCGAACTTTTCAATGATCCTTAAAATTAGAACCCATTTCATCCATTGAATGAGGATTTGTTGTTTTTGATATTTAAATTTTTTGTTGGATCAAAATATGACTTAAAATATGTGAACTAAATAGTACGAAAAGGTAATATTAATGCAACATTACTGAGTCTAAAACTAAAGAACGACAAGCTTTGACTTAAATTTTAAGTTCATGGTTAAATGCCACTTCTGACTTAATTAATTTAAACCTGAACTTTAACCGTGTGGTTAAATATTTAACTCGCCGAAATCGACGAGTTAAAATTTAAACACAGGCTTAAAATCTTGAAATCCCGCAATACCTATTTGTCTATCATCATTCAGCGGTAAGCGGCATTCAAATAATTACGATATATTTAAAAGTAAAAATCTCGATTTAATAAATTTAACGTTTTAGATTAATTAATGTTTGCACGAAAACCCAAAATACGGTTGTAACTGGAAATATGTTTTTTTTTCCGTCTCATTAATAAATTATTTATTTATTTAAAAAACAGCTGATTACCGAATACTGATACTTACGTAATAATTCTCCGTAATCCTTTTCTCTGATTGGTTCAGATTTTTCCCGGGAAATTCAAATTTAAAATTAAGAAAGTTTAATGTTTAAGTAGCTATTCATTATTTTACAGAACTTTTAACCTCGAACTTAAAATTCGCGCATTCTTTAGTTTTAGACTCAGGTCTGACTTTGTGAAATCATAACTTCTCTTGTTTTGATTTTATGAACAACGGAGAATGGTTAGAGTATAGAATGCTGACAGACAATTTGTACAGGGAAATCGAACAGACCCCGAAACATTTAAGAAAGAGGAGGATTTTTGTAGAAGCAATAGATTAATAAGCAATTTAAATATAAAAATTGAAAAACATAACGCAAAACATCCAAAATGGTTCTCTAGATATAAAAAATGGTTCAAGAATACTTCAGAAAATGTTTATTTAAACAAAAATGTGCAGGACAAAAAGAGTGTAAAACAGAAAAATGACATAATTTTTCCTTAAAAAAAACAAAGATTTGCGGGTAAAAATCGTCGTTTTTAAGCAATCATTGTATGCTCAGTTTATTTTATTATAACTATTTTGTATTGTTCAAATTATTTAAATTTTACTGAATATAGTTTTGAAATGTTTGAACCTTCAAAATGGTTGTGGTGCCACTAAAAGCCCAAAACATTTAAATGAAAAAAAACTAAAGGCATTGCATGTTTATCACTGATCGTTCTTCCTTTTAAGTCCCTTGCATTCCCTTTGAAAATTACTAGCTTAAGTACCTGGCCTTGCCCGTGGAATTCTAAAAATACTTTTGAAAAAATCATTTTTTAGAAAACAAAATCAAATTTGTTTAGCCTATGTTACTCCCAGGGTACCCGGCCAAAGGTTAAAAAATTCTCCAATTAAGTCTATCCGTTTGGCCAGCACGCTAAGGCTAACATATGTGTATTTTATACATATATATGAGTATAGAGCTTTATTAAATAGTTATTTATTTGCATATAATCCTATAATATTAGATTAAAGGATGTGTTCATATTTACACGAGTATCAAAGGAATTGGTTAGACCAGCTCGACTGGAAAGATTAGATACTGTATAATCTGAATAAAAATAAGAAAATGGATATTTCTAGATGTATATTTCTTTTTGATATATCTAACATTTTTGTATTTTGCTCTGCACTAAAATCTTTCATTATCTAAATTGTGGCATTTCTTAATGCCATGTTATCAACATTGTGATATTTGGTAATATCAATATCAACGTTGCGGTATTCTTTACGCCATAATCAACATTGTGGTATTTGGTAATGAACGGTGCGGGGCATTTGTTAATGTCATTATCTACGTTGTGGTATTTGTTAATATAATTGTTAACATTGTGTTATTTGCTAATGTCATTATCAACGTAAAGGTATTTGTTAATGTCATTATCTACGTTGTTGTATTTGTTAATATCATTGTTATCATTGTGTTATTTGCTAATGTCATTATCAACGTAAAGGTATTTTCAATGTTGTGGTATTTGTTAAAATCGTTATCAAGGTTGTGCTATTTGGTAATATCATTGTCAACATTGTGTTATTTGCTAATGTAATTATCAACGTAAAGGTATTTGCTAATGTCATTATCAACGTTTTCGTGGTATTTGTGAATGACATTATCAACGTTGTGGTATTTGTCAATGTCATAATGAACGTTGTAGTATTTGTTAATGTCACAGCCAATGTTGTGGTATCTGTTAATATCATTATCAACATATTGTGGTATATAAGCAGGCATATATTGCATTTGAAAGAAAAACATATTTCATTGTCAATTTTTTTAGGTTTGATAGAGACTAATATATTTTTATCAAATGAAGACAAATAAAACTTATCTTATGAACTTTGTACACTTTACCTTTAATATGATATTTTATTATCTCGCTATACTCGATATCATATTCTGTTTTCTTGAGAGAACAACAACATTGGATTAACAATACTTTACCCTCATTTAAAGGGAATTCAGGCAAAATTTCTAGTGACCCTATTTCTTAAAAGTAGCAATGAAGAAATTATGATATTTAAACAGTTTGCGAATCAGGAAAAAAGTGCCTTCACGAGACAAAAAGTAAATGAAAAGTAATCTACTTAAAACAAAAAAATTTTATTTTGACATTTTTAAAATAATAAAAGGTTGTTGCGATCAGATTTCAACAATTTGCTTTTCCAGTCCGTTTTTCTCTTTTTTTAGCTCTACATTCATCTATATTGTTTTCCTTGTTTAGAAAAGATTGTATGAACTGTCCAACCACCTCCCTGTCCACCTTTCTCTGGGACATATACAGCTCATCCAGCAGCTTCACCGCCATCTCATAGTCCCCTGTAGTAAATACATTACATACAGATACAGTACATTAAATAAGTAAATACATTATATGCAGTACATATAGTATATACAGTACATATAGTACATACAGTACATACAGTACATACATTTACATACAGTACATACAGTACATACAGTACAAACAGTACATACAGTACATACCATACATACAGTACATACAGTATATGCAGTACATATAGTACATACAGTACACACAGTACGTACAGTACATACAGTAAATACAGTAAATACAGTACATACAGTACAAACAGAACATACAATACATACAAGACATATAGTACATGCAGTACATACAGTACATACAGTAAATACAGTACATACAGTACATACAGTACATACAGTACATATAGTACATGCAGTACATACAGTACATACAGTACATACAGTACATACAGTACACACAGTACAAACAGTACATACAGTACATACAGTACAGACAGTACATACAGTAAATACATTACATACAGTACATACAGTAAATACAGCACATACAGTACATACAGTACATACAGTACATACAGTACATACAGTACATACAGTACATACAGTACATACAGTACAAACAGTACATACAGTACATACAGTACATACAGTACACACAGTACATACAGTAAATACAGAACATACAGTACATACAGTACATACAGTACATACAGTACATAAAGTACAAACAGTGCATTCAAAATAACGGTGAAATTATTCCAAGCACAGCAAAGCACAGTAATAAAATAACAATGAAGTACTAATGTAACGCGCATATTATCAATCTCACAATGCATGCTACAGTACTAATTTAACGCGCATATTATCAATCTCAAAATAGAAAAATAATCATAATATTCTGTCTACCTAGAAGATGATAGCTAAGAGCTAAGGCTGCCCATGAGACTCGTTGGGTTGGTCTGAAAATATGTAGAAATGATGAAGAACATTTTGAAATATTTGTATCCTTATTTTTTCTATTATATCTGATAAATTGTGTTTCTTTATTTTTCTATGATTTTCTCTGAGATCGGTGAGTCAAACTTATTACAAATCCTACAGTCTTGGTTTAGAACTAAAGATTCAATGTACGTATTTTTTTCATTTTCTTTATTTCTAAATGATAATTTGAGAACAACTTGAAATATTTGGTGCTCTTTAATGATCTTTTCAGTGTTTTTAATTGCATGTTATAATTTAAGTATTTAAGCAATTGACTAAGGAATTCAGTCTTTGTCACAAACTCAAATTTTTCAGTCCCTATATCTTTGCATCCTGATTATATAAACTTTTGATATTTCAAACTTAGATTATTTAGTCTAACAGAAATCATAGTTTAAAATATCCCAACATAATATATGGTGATTATAGAATCAGAATTTTCGGTAAAGATATTACAGTTTCTTTTTGTAATTATATAAGAAAAAAACAATATTATTTTACTAGTAAAATGAAAATATTTTTATGTTGAGCAATGAAAATAAATATAAGTTTCTATGATACAGTGATTTGTCCTAAATGTGAACCATTACGTTTATCGTTTTCCATTTAAAGTGCATTAAGGCTCAAAAAGTTTTCCGAGGGTGTGTTTTTAAAAATGTTTTCCAATATTATTTTGTTGTGGAATCTCTTTGGCGAGGTTCCTTACATTACTACAGATACTAAACTAAAATAAAATTTACATTAGGATGATTATTTTTGAACAGAACTGTTTTATGTGAAGTAAAAGTAAAAAAAACTTTGTAAGTTTAAAGATTGTTGAATTATTATACCAACATTTATGAATTTAAATTGTAAAGAAATAAAACGCATCTAGTCCTGGTTATGGGACACGTGAATTTAATGGTTCTGTCAATATTCCAGAAAGCCATGACTTTCGATCACAATTACTCCTATTAAACATGATTTTTCAGCCTTCTTTCTTAAATCCTTTTTTGCCGACATATATGTTTTGAATAAGAAGTATTTAACAAACAAATCCGTAACTTTAAAGATTATCAAAATATAAACCAAAACGGATATGATTTCAAATTGAAGAAACCGAATTCCTCTAACTCTGGTTAGTCGGGGGTGGGGGAGGGTGGAAAAGTTCTAAATTATCATATTTAATCAATCTTACGCACAAATTACAAGATTTTTTTTAATTGACATCATTCCAATTTGTAGGCGATTGGAGTGTGCTTTAATTCTAGAGAAGCTACGATTGCTGGGCTATAGTGTTTTATATACAAAATATATGACTTATAACGCCAAAAACGTTGTATAATTCACGAAAAAACAATCATGAAATTTTATACCTTTTTTCAAAATTATTCATTCTTCTAAAATTTTCTGATTAGTCCTTTAAATCTGAATTTAGAGCTATAAAGGATCCAATATGATGTGGGACACCCTGTATAGCATTCATATTTGATTAATAGTTTTAGACTTACTTGAGTTGTAAGATGTTGAACCTTGTATCCCTGTATCCCTCCAGATCCCTTAAGTATAATAAATTATCTTATTCTCTCTTTCAACACAAATTCATTTATTTTAAAGAAATTGTTCACTTTGTTGAAAATACATACAGGAAGACTCATAACACTCTGGAATAGAAAGACGACTGTTGGTCTCAGGTTTGGATATTAAAAGTTCAATAAATATAAATCAAATAATTGTGCAGTGTAGAATTCTTTCAAAAAAATAAGTTGATGTTTCGTCTTTAATACTGGTTAAAGGGACCGTTCACTTATTTGGGTAATTTCAGGGTATTCGCTGTTGATTGGTAATAGTTTTACTTTTCAAAGACATCTGTGGCCGGAGAAAAAGCCGATTTTTCGTTCAGAATTCGAGCGTAAAGGGACGGTCCCTTTCTATAGACGCTAATTGATGTTTTTTTCAGTATGTTGTGAATCAAAATAAATTTCGAATATAAAATTAAACTGTAGTATCTAATCGTTAATTGTAAATGTCGTAATTTTTATTTGTTTTTTGTTTATAACTTTCTATTTCTAAAATAACACTATTTTATCGCATTCAAAATTGTGTATTGCCTTTGTAAAAAGCTGAATTGAACGCGGCATGACAAATGAAAAGTTGTGCACATACGGGAACAAAATCTACAAAATCTACGAACCAAAATACGAGTAATGATTAATTGATTGTCGTAGAGACGTCGTCTTTGTATACACATTTTACATGTTTTAATACGAAAAACGTAAATTTCTTGCGAACTCAAATATCAAAAGTTTTCGTATTTTAGTACATAATAACGAGCTCATAATGACACTAAAATATAATAAATTTAAATGTTATTGGGCTGCTGTTACTGAAAAAAAAACATCAAATAGTGTTTATAGAGAGGGACCGTCCCTTTCCGCTCAAATTCTGAACGAAAAATCTGCTTTTTCTCCGGCCACAGATGTCTTTGAAAAGTAAGATTTTTACCAATCAACAGCTAATAGGCTGTTTAGTTTACCATGAAATTACCCAAATAAGTGAACGGTCCCTTTAAACTTTAGCAATTAAAACAAATAAATATGAATTGGCATATTCATGTTCCACAGTTGTTTGGGTCTCACTAATTGTATAGTAGTCTTATTTTATTGATTTTATGCATGTGGTTGGTCATGTACTTTCACTTGATTCCTGAAAACTATTGGCCAAAAAATGTTAACACCTTCAAGAAAAAATTGAATCCAGGTTTTTCCTTTTCACAGGAAAATCCGGTGAAAATGTCGACTGAAATTCCAAGGAATTTCTCTTTACAAGTTCCGAGGAATTTCTCATAACCCTATCCAAGAAATTTCTAGTAACCAATTTCAAGGAATTTCGTGTTACCAATTATGGAGAATTGGGGACCAGTTCCGGAGAATTTCTCAAGAATTTCCAGGGAATCAGTCACAAAAACCTGTTATCGAGAAATTCCCAGGAAATTCCTCAAAGCAAGTCACCAAAACAGGAGAACTTTTGTAATCTGGGCAGTAGACAAGGTAGTTAAGCTAAAATTCAGTACAGTAGAAAATTTATTAGGATTTATTTGAGGCCTATTATATATGTTTTCCGTTGATTACTTGCTCAGCAAGAACACAAATTTAATATCTAGAATCCTCATTGATTATCCATTTTGCCATCATTATTAAATAATTTTTAAAACAGCGATTCACAAAAACAAAATGGACAATCTCTGAGGATTTTAAAGATTTAATTTGCGCTTTTACTTAACAAATATACACCGTAAAAACGTCTGATAGATTTAAAATTAGTCCTGAAAAAATCACTTTACAAAATTCTGCATTCTCAGTTCAACTACGTGATTAGCGAGACACTCTCTTTAAAGATTAATTTCAGATTTTAAAAACACAATAAAAAGTTAAATCCTGTCTAATATTACAACAACAAAATATAATAAATTGGCCAAAATGTGACAGATATTGAAGTTGTAAAGTTTCCACCTGGTTTGAATACAGAGAACTGAAAGATTACGTAGAACTTCCTCATTCTTAGGTTCCAACTTTAGACAGTTCCTATAACATGTTCAACTAGGAAACTTTATTAACCCTATCTCTGCTGGGGTACTTAAAACCAGGATATGCTAAATCCTCAAAAATCCCATGTTTGATGTCCAAATATGACAAATGATACATCATTGGAAAGCTCTTGTGCTCTACTTTTGGAATCTGAAAAAATAGAATTTTTTATCGCAAAATCCAGTTATATAGTAAAATGTTTGCAAAATAAAATTTATCCAAAAAATGATAAGTTATACATTTTTGAAAAGCCCTTGACCATGCCATTTTAAATCTGCAAAACTTTTTGCAAAATTTGAAATAACCTGATTTTTAATCAAGAAAAACTAAAAATGTGCAAATTTCCTTTGACAGGTTGTTTGCAAAAAAATAGCAATTTTTTTTCGCAAAGCTTGTGCAATNTAATCCTTCTCTTACAGTCCCTTTATATCTCACCTTAGACTTTTAATCCTTCTCTTACAGTCCCTTTAAATCTCACCTTAGATCAGCTTTTAATCCTTCTCTTGCAGTCCCTTTATATCTCACCTTAGACTTTTAATCCTTCTCTTACAGTCCCTTTATATCTCACCTTAGACTTTTAATCCTTCTCTTACAGTCCCTTTAAATCTCACCTTAGATCAGCTTTTAATCCTTCTCTTGCAGTCCCTTTATATCTCACCTTAGACTTTTAATCCTTCTCTTACAGTCCCTTTATATCTCACCTTAGACTTTTAATCCTTCTCTTACAGTCCCTTTAAATCTCACCTTAGATCAGCTTTTAATCCTTCTCTTGCAGTCCCTTTATATCTCACCTTAGACTTTTAATCCTTCTCTTACAGTCCCTTTATATCTCACCTTAGACTTTTAATCCTTCTCTTACAGTCCCTTTAAATCTCACCTTAGATCAGCTTTTAATCCTTCTCTTGCAGTCCCTTTATATCTCACCGGGGGAGGGGGTATAAATCAAAGCAAATACTGCCATCTACATTTTTCTTCGAGGGATCATATTTTACCTAAAGCATTTTATAGCTTCGGAATATTTCTTCAGATCCTTCTGAATCAGAGCCAGAGAATTCCAACAAGAATGAGACCTATATATATAAACAGTGAAAATTAAACTCAAGTAATTGAACTTTTATTTAATTTATTAATTCATTTCAATTTTTTTCTGATTTGTTTCGATGCTTAAGATATTATAGTTTGTGTTTAAAAAATGCTTCTAATTTATTTTTCGTACAAAAACATCGTTGGTTAAACCATAATTGATTGTATTCGTGGCAAAAATTGAATTGAAAAAGCTGTTGTTAACTGGACCTGCAACACTTTAAATGGATAATCATTAAAGCAACGTTCACAATATAAGAAATTGCTGACCCTTTAAAAATTGCGAAAACTGAAGCTTTGGTAAACATTATTGATGTTGCAGGGGCGGATACTGGGGGGGGGCGGCAGGACCTTCGCCCCCCCCCCCCCACCCAGATTTCAGAATAACTTCTCAATAGCACTTAAGGGAAAGAAAACCTGTTGCAAAACAGCAAAAATATCTTACTTAAAAAAGAAATTTCGCCTACGGCATGTTTTTTGTTCCTAAATCTGGATTTTTTTGTTCCGAAATAAATCTAGCACTGCAGTCCTCACTTAAATTCTGTATCCGCCCCTGAATGTACGTAACGATGGGCATGCTCATTGCTTAAAATGTGAATAATTCTGACATTTCCTCTAATATTTCATTAGCAAAAAATGATGAAATCCGTAATCCACTTTAATGGAGACACAACATGGTAAAAATAACGAACTTTTAAAATTAAAACAAAAAAATCTCTTTCATTTCTTATCATTCAAAACATAAATTGTTCCACACTATCCCGATTGGGCTATTTTTGTCTAATATTTTGCACCTAGATTTAAGATAGGGAAGCGTGATACATGACCCTAGTTAAACTTTACAAGGCCTGTTCATTGAAAAAAATTATACCTCTAAATTAAATGGTTCAAGGTGCAAGGAAGGAGTTTTAAAACTTTAAAAAGTACTTTCCAATCGTGATAGAGTTAAAAGAATATCGTTATAGTTAACCTGAAATGCAACTTGATACCTTAGACTTTTAATCCTTCTCTTTCAGTCCCTTTATACCTCGCTTCAAATTCCCCCCCCCCCCCCAGCGGGTAGGGTTAAAACTATTTGTATCAATTTTTCCAAAATAATGGATATACAAGGCTTGTTCTATGAAATCAGGTTTTAGTAAGGGTTGGATAAAAATGTAAAAAAAATGTTATAATTTGCTGAAGTTTTTTGGTCCAATTCATATTTTAAAATTATTTTTTGAAGCTTTAAAATGTAGATAAGTTTGTTTACTGGGGAATATGTATTTGCCTCGTACGATTTTCCGAAACTGAGATCCAACTTTTGAATAATAGTTCAACTCCAGTTTCTGGATGATTTGTTTATTTATGTTTTAGTATTCATAGAAATGTCAAAAGAGTATGTATAGAAATCCCAAAAGGAAATGAAAATAGTTTTAGAAAACGTATAATTTTACAGTGGAGATTATTTAACACAGTTTGGGTTATTAGAGATTTAACATTTAGTTAAAGGGAGTGACCGGCTATGTAAGGTAGTTGAACTGAGTATGCAGTGTTTTGGAAACTTCTTTCGGATTCATTTGAGACATATTAAACTATTTTAAGATCTGCAAATTCTGAGTTTGAGCGCAAATTTTTTTGGGGGTGGATACGTTTCCAGAATTAGTTTTTTTAAATTATTAAATAAAGACAACAGAAAATGTAAAAAAATTCTACAATAAACTAATTAGTTGTTTAGGAACAGGTTGAGAAAATAAAAATTAATCTTTTCATCGAAAATAAGTAATCTTGTTCAATTTTTTGTTTCTATTTTCTATTTTCTCTGGTTTCTCATTATTCAAAGATTTTCTGCAGATTTCTGGAATTATAAAATAAGTAATCTTGTTCAATTATTTGTTTCTATTTTCTCACTATTCTGGTTTCTCATTATTCAAAGATTGTCTGCAGATTTCTGGAATTATTATTGAAAAGACGACATTTGAAGAATTCTGCGAATAAATTCAAAAAANCAGTCCCTTTATATCTCACCTTAGATCAACTTTTAATCCTTCTCTTACAGTCCCTTTATATCTCACCTTAGACTTTTAATCCTTCTCTTACAGTCCCTTTAAATCTCACCTTGATCAACTTTTAATCCTTCTCTTACAGTCCCTTTATATCTCACCTTAGATTAACTTTTAATCCTTCTCTTACAGTCCCTTTAAATCTCATATTAGATCAACTTTGAATCCATCTCTTACAGTCCCATTATATCTCACCTTAGATCAGCTTTTAATCCTTCTCTTACAGTCCCTTTAAATCTCACCTTAGATCAGCTTTTAATCCTTCTCTTACAGTCAATTTATATCTCACCTTAGATCAACTTTTAATCCTTCTCTTACAGTCCCTTTATATCTCACCTTAGATTAATTTTTAATCCTTCTCTTACAGTCCCTTTAAATCTCACCTTAGATCAACTTTTAATCCTTCTCTTACAGTCCCTTTATATCTCACCTTAGATCAGCTTTTAATCCTTCTCTTACAGTCCCTTTATATCTCACCTTAGACTTTTAATCCTTCTTTTACAGTCCCTTTAAATCTCACCTTATATCAGCTTTTGATCCTTTTCTTACAGTCCCTTTAAATCTCACCTTAGACCAGCTTTTAATCCTTCTCTTACAGTCCCTTTATATCTCACCTTAGACTTTTAATCCTTCTCTTACAGTCCCTTTAAATCTCACCTTATATCAGCTTTTGATCCTTTTCTTACAGTCCCTTTAAATCTCACCTTAGACCAGCTTCTCTTACAGTCCCTTTATATCTCACCTTAGACTTTTAATCCTTCTCTTACAGTCCCTTTAAATCTCACCTTAGATCAGCTTTTAATCCTTCTCTTACAGTTTTCTCAGCTTCCTCAACCTTACCTAGGAAATGAATAGAAAATTAGAAAAAGAGATGAAGAGAAAAAAAACAGATTTATTTACGTAAATATAAAAAGAATCTATGTGTGCCACACAGGTCTGCCGCTTTACTAATTGTTACTTGACGGTACACTGTACAGTCCAAACTACCCAGGAAAAATGGTTACCGACTATATAAATATGCCGATGGCGAAGATGTCGGGTAAAAAATTCTGGGCTTTATATGTTTGTGCGACAAATCCGTTAGAATTTTGTTATAAAATATATTCTTATAATTTAACCTTATAATTTAACCTGAACACAAAATTGCTGAATGATTTTTCATCACTTTTTAATGGGAAAAGTTATAGACGACAATTAGGGACATACTGGTTTTTAAATGTATTAACTTGTTAAAATAGATAAAAATGTTCTTTAAAAAATCTCACCAATGCCCAGGAGAAGGAGACCCTGTATGGCCAAGGTTTCTGTGTGATTGCTGTACTTTGAGTTTGTCAATATTTGCTTTCCTGCCTTCAATCCCTAAACAATTCAAATAAGAATTTTACCTACCAGAGGTCACGGGGGATTAAGGTCAATTTGAACTTGAACCGGATCGACCGATTCCTTGTACTGGCCTTAGTGACCCTCGGCATGTACCGGCCCGACATTATCCAAAGAAGGCCTGGTTTCAACTTTGATGGCGCGGCAAGACTTTTTACACCACCTGGCCTATCATAGACCTATTTGACTTACTCCTCTTTCTTAGATTAGTGTTAGATTTCAAGAGTGTGAAAATATCATATAAAAGCTACAACAATCAATATTTTTCAATAAGCAAGTATAATTGTACTGGTTCGACTTGCATGCCTGATATATGGAGTTCTGCATCAGTTCAACTCTTCTACGACTACTAACCTCCCCCATAAAGTTTTTAACAATTAAGCAGGAAGCAGTTAAACTAGGTACTATGTTCCACTTCTTCGCTTGAACATGAACTAGTGCACAAGAGAAATGGTTGAGCTAGGTCTATCTATAGTTCAACTACTTCTTGTTATTTAACTAATATGGTCCAAACCATTTATTCATATCAAATAATTTAAAAGAGCAGTACCTGCTTAAACTGTTTCTGTTGTAGACAATTCAGCATGCGCTTGTAAGCATTTTGTTCTCGAGCTGGTAGCGCGGTATTTCGCAGGCCTGGAAGGTTGATAGTTTGGACGCCAGGAGTGCTGGATACTTCAGGCATTATTAATTGTTATCCGATACTCCGATAATTCCTATCCTGGCTGATTCTCCCGTACTCCTGACAAAGTATTGACAGCTAATAGTATTGGCTGGAACACACTTAGATGGGGAAATGCGGGGTTTTCAATTTATAAGATTTGTTCAATCCAGTAAAATATAGTGTAAACTTTCAGAAATGTAAAATATTTATCTAAAAAATTTTTGCGGAGCCAAAACTGAATTTGAAGCACAATTCTTCAAATGTTGATGAGGGATAATTTATATTGGACAAAATTTGAAAATGATGCAATTAAGTTGGATTTGGCTCCGCAGGCTTCAACAAATTTGTTAGATGAAAATTTGACACTTCTTCAATTCAAAACAATGCAAAAAAAACTGATTTAGCATACATTAGTTGAAGATAATCTTATTTAAACAAAGGTTACTCTGGCCATTTTTTTAAGTTAACTTTGACAGAAATCCCAAACAAAATTGTAGGTGTATTTTTAACCGTTTAAATCCTGAAAACGCCCCCCTCTGCCTATTTAGGGTTAAATGATGGTGACTTCGAGTTTACTTTAGGCAATATTTTGGTGTTGTTATCGTCATATTTACGATTCAAGTTTGATTTCAACTATCAGAATGTGTTTGCCTTTGAAGATATGCATTTTAATCTGTATAAACGCTGTGAATAAAGTGAAGATTTCAATATTTAAAGAAAATAAAGTGTTTGAACACGAAGAGAGAAAATTCTGAATTATTTATTTACTAACAGTGCACAAACATTCTAAATTCAGATGCGGCTAAAACTCTCAAACTTTCTAATGCCTCCCGTCAAATAAAGTTTAAAGAAGTGTGAAAATTCGGTGCAACACTCACAAATGTCACTAAGGTCTGCCACTATATAGACAGGGTGTAATGAAAGTGGGGAGGGTGGAAAACCTAAGGGTCTGGAGTAGAATTTAAAGGGAGTGTCTGGCTAGATAGTGAAAGTTGCTGAGAATGCATTATTGTAGAGCTTAGGATGTTGTAGGTTAGGTTAAGACAATTTCTGGGCCGAACACTGCAGCTATGACAAGTTAGGGGCTAAGCGCTGCGTCTAATAGTTCAAATGAACATGAAAGAGTTCAAATTAACCAAAAAATAGTCTAAATGAAATGTTCAAATGAAAAAACTGTTTTTAATTTTCTCATTTTATAGATTAATTATTAGTGTACCTTTCCTAGGGGGGTACACCTAAATTACCTTGAACCTGCTCAAATGCAATTAGGGATAGGGTCTTTTAATTTATTTCTAAATAATGGCAGACACAGATACACGTAACTCAGTGCAGCTGATAATGGGAAGTTTTCATTACAACAATGTCAGTAATAAACATTCATAGATGGCAAATTTCAAGATTATTTGATTATACAGAGATTTAGCGGAAATCAAACACAACTGGAATAAATGCAGCTAATTGAACAGAGCAAAACAGGACTGCTAAAAAGTTAGAAGATTGGAAAATTATTATCTCCATTCTGCATTATAATACATGTATCAAAAAATCTTGAAGAAAATAAAAAAAATAAACTGTTAAAATTTTTTTTTAATTATGTCCTTTGTAACTTATATAATTTGTAACTTATATGTTTTTTAACTTATATATTTGTAACTTATATGTTTTGTAATTATATTTTTGTTTTATATCTTATATTACTCAGTTGCCTTGGAGCTTCAGGACAGTAAGGTTCTTTTACAACTCTCTTCTATTGCTTGGGGCTGAACATAACCCTTTGTGGAAAAAACATGGCAGTACACCCTCTTACACCCTTATCACCAGAAACAAGGAAGATGGAATCATAGAAAATAGAATCCTGATTGGTTGTGCACCATGCACACTATGATACAAGTCTGTTGCGAGGAAAAGATTGCTGTAGACAGTAACCTAAAATTCTGCAGAACTCGGAAAGAGTATAAATCCAGGAGAAAAGTAGGGTTCCAGGATACCCTCCCTTCCTACCTACTTCAAATTTCAAACTCATCTACTTGTCACAAACAACTTTTAAGACCACTAGGTGTAACCAGGATTTGAACATGAAACTCAAAGCAAAATTGCAGAATAATACAAACATAAACAAGAAGAAAAAATAAATTGAACAGTAAAAATGGTAGGGAAGATAATAAGCTCTCTTCTAGTTTCTTGTGGCCGTGCTGAACCCTGGAACTTGGAAAATAATACCAGAATTAATGAAATTGAAAACATAGAAAGTAGAATCCTAATAGGGTGTGCACCATGCACAATGATACAAGTTTATACTCTGCCGGCTGTTAGGAAAAAATTAATGGAGACATCATTTGAGATTGGGTTGGGAGACGTCCCCTCCAACCCCCCCAACCCCCCCGCCCTCCATTTAACCTCCAACAGAAAATAAATCACGAATGTGTGTTTGAAGTTGAATCAGCTCTAACCTTCAATCAGTTGGTTAAGTCAGGCATTCTTAGATAGGCAATAAAACTGAAAACTACAAAAATATCTGCTATACTACAATTCTGACCTACTTGCACAATTAAAATAGAGGGTCCAAATAAATATTGATTTTGAAAAAAATTTTATTTTCTTTCAAAATTAATATTTCTGTATAATTTTGAAAATTCAAAAATAATAAATTCTTAAAAAAATATCTTATGTCACTGAGCCTTCTCTTTATTGAGAAAGTTAAAGGTAATTTTACAAAAATGTTTGTGTACTTGTTTTAATGATTACTTCTAGATATAACAAGCTTTTTAACAAAGCAGAAATAAAACTTTAAAGTTTATTCAATTTTATTTTAAACACAATTCTATAAACATCCTACTTTATTTGGAAAAAAACGTATTTTATATCTTTTATGAACCCATTAATTCATTGTGCTTTGCGGCAGGATCATTTTCTTTACAATTTTTTACATTTTGTAAAATTAAGGATTCTAAATTGATATGAAAAATGAATATTTTTATCTTTTGAATTTTTTTTAAATGAAAGTATACTAGACTTTTTGACAGTCATCACAGTTTGGTCCTTGTCTGGCCCTGCAACCTTTGACTTTTGAGCTCAGTTTGACCTATACGATCACAGTTTGACCTATACGATCACAGTTTGACCTATCCGAGCACAGTTTGACCTATCCGAGCACAGTTTGACCTATCCGAGCACAGTTTGACCTATCCGAGCACAGTTTGACCTATTTGAGCACAGTTTGACCTATTCAAGCACAGTTTGACCTATTCGATCACAGTCTGACCTATTTGAGCATAGTTTGACATATTCGAGCACAGTTTGGCCTATTCGAGCATATTTTGACCTATTCAACATAATTTTTTTTATACTCTTTTGTCGGAGCAAGCGTTTTATATCAAATAGTATTAAAACACAACTCCATAAGTTTAAAGATTGTTGAATTAAGTACAAAAATGTAATTGAACTTAATTAGTGGGATGAACACATTTGGCCGGAAACTGTTTTTTTATGTTAGAGTGGTGCAGGGCATCTTGAATTTTTAAGTGCAAAATCTTTTATATGATTTTTTACAGAGGAAGATGCATTTTTGTTCACAGTTGTAAACCTCGATGAAAGGTATACGAGGGGAGTCAGGGTTCTTAAGGTATAACTAAAAGCGTGTTAAAAGAATGCATTTTATCTCAAATAAAAATAAAAATATTTTAAAGACGGAAACTTCGTTAAATTATTCTATAATTTACAAAAAAAAACTTTCGTGTTTTTAAACATTTCTAAAATAATTTAAAAGTTTAATTTTCTAAAAAGGTTTTTAGATCAACATTTCAAGGAAGTTTTATCCTTTCTTAAAGGGAGTGTTAGCGAAAAATGAAAGGGGTATAGGCTTAGTCGTCGATTATTTTTCAACGCATTCGTACGTAGTTAATATTTCATAATATTTTGATTTTGTTTTATCTTAATAATTTTCGCTGGTGCTGGATTCTCGAACATTCCTGGAAAATATGAAAATGTCGTCTTCATTATCATAAATCCTCGAAACAGGAATAAATGTTTTCAAAAGTAACTCTCAGATCATGAAAAATAGAAAATATTATGAAATATCAACTATTTAAGAATTCGTCGAAAAATAATCGATGACCATTGTTTGTAATATCTGAATGATTGTTTGGAATTAAATTGATTTGTTTTCGATCCGAGTTGAATGTTGCATCTTTCTGAATTTGTATAGACACATACGTTCTTTGGTATTAGTCGTTTTTAACAATTTTCTCCTTATAGACGCAACAGATAGAAGTAAGATTAGTAGCGATCAAAAGCGCTTTTTTATCGCATTAAGCCTTTCATTTTTCGCGAACACTCCCTTTAAAGCAAATTACTTTTATTACGTAATGGTTTATTGCATTTTTTCTGTTGACCAACTTTACTTTACAATTCCTGCAGTACATGTTGTCCAATTCCATTACATTTGTTAAAATCCTTATATATTTTGTCCGAGTTCTATTTTTGTCCTTCCCTAGATTTTGTCCAATTATACTTATGCATGTTGTTCGATCTCTATACATTTTGTCTAATCCTATAGATATTGTCTAATATTTATACATTTTGTCCAATTTATATAGATTTTCTTTAATATTGATACATGTTATCCCATCCCTATCATTTATCCAATCCTATAGATTTTGTCTAATATTTATACATGGTATCCGATTTCTATCATGTTGTCCAATCAGATTTTGTCTAATATTTATACATGCTGTCTGATCCCTATATATTTTGTACTATCCCTATACATTTTGTCCAATCCTATAGATTTTGTCTAATATTTATACATGTTGTCTGATTCCGATACATTTTGTCCAATCCTATAGATGTTGTCTAATGTTTATACATTTTGTCTGATCCCTATATATTTTGTACTATCCCTATACATTTTGTCAACCGATCCCTATATATTTTGTACTATCCCTATATATTTTGTCCAATCCTATAGATTTTGTCTAATATTTATAAATGTTGTCTGATTCCGATACATGTTGTTAAATCCTATAGATTTTTTTCTGATATTTATACATGTTGTCTGATCCATATAATTTTGACCAATCCTATGGACTTTTTGCGTCGAAACCCTACACATTTGTTTTCAAATATATATTCAATCTCTATAATAGTCATCCAACCCCTGAAAACTGCAGTTAATGATTGTAAAATAACAGCAAAATAAAAGAATTTAGCGTCAACAGATTCGACTGAGCCAATTTTCTTAAATGAATCTACGCATTTGCTGCATTTAAAGGGACTGTATGCGTAATTTCAAGTGATCTACCATGGCAAAAATGGCGATGCCCGATTCACAACGGTACCCTTATGTTTTTTCTGATCACATTGTGGTTAATGTAAAAAAGTGACTAGCACATTTCTACTGCAGGAAAGCATAGTTTATTTTCAAAATTTAACACTTGTAAACCTAGAAACATAACAATATATTTTTCATTATTGATGATAAAAGTTTTAAAGGGTTGTAAATCAGGAATTTCTATCTTTGCATGGAGGGTCACTTAATATTACGCGTTCAGTCCCTTTGAACTATAAAAGTCAATCTTAGAAATTTAAAATCAACGAGTTCTCAAATTCAAATTTGAGGCAAATCGGTCAAGGGCAAAGACAGACGGAAAATTATAGAAAAAAAATTTCGAATTTTGAAAAAAAAATTTGCCACCCATGGGTTCCCTCAAAAAAATGTCAGTCAATTTGGTCCAACCGACGCTAGAGCTTGATTATATTTAAAGATGGTATAAAGTGGATCTGCCCTGCCTACCTCCGTACATTATATAGATGGTATAAAGTGGATCTGCCCTGCCTACCTCCGTATTATATAGATGGTATAAAGTGGATCTGCCCTGCCTACCTCGGTATTATATAGATGGTAAAGTGGATCTGCCCTGCCTACCTCCGTATTATATAGATGGTATAAAGTGGATCTACCCTGCCTACCTCGGTATTATATAGATGGTATAAAGTGGATATGCCCTGCCTACCTCGGTATTATATATAGATGGTATATAAAGTGAATCTGCCCTGCCTACCTTGGTATTATATAGATGGTATAAAGTGGATCTGCCCTGCCTACCTCGGTATTATATAGATGGTATAAAGTGGATCTACCCTGCCTACCTCGGTATTATATAGATGGTATAAAGTTGATCTGCCCTGCCTACCTCGGTATTATATATATATATGGTATAAAGCGGATCTGCCCTGCCTACCTCGGAAGTAAAAGATTCTATATCCACGTCTTGATCTATCTGTTTATCTGTTCTATCCAACTGTTCAAGGGAGAAATTTCTGTTCTTATTTCTTTTATCAAGTCCACAGCAGCACAATCCAGGGAAATCACAACAAATCTAAAATGTCGTCTTAGAAAATTGTTTTTAGGAAAACATTAAATCCTCAAATAGATTGTAAAGTATTTTATTCAATGTTTTGTATCAATGGTAAACTGTGTAAATCCTGAACTTTATATATACTTGCAGCAGTTAACAATTAATAAGATTGTTTTTAAGGACACTGGACAATATAAAATAATTCATTTAGAAAACAATACAATAGTTAGGGCTGCAAGACTACAAATATAATTTGGATATTTCTAATTTGACAAAACAGTCAAAAACAAAAACTCCGAAACAGGATCAGACGTTTTTAGACTCAATTTAAAACTTTATACAGGGTGTCCCAATAAACATGAGAATTCAGTGACAAATTCGATATCGTCTTTTCAAATAATTCTTTGATTTAGTATAGTGATACCTACTGAGAAAGCTGTAATCCGTAAAAGTTTCGTCTGCTATGTTCACATTTTGTTTGTATATGTTTTGACTTGCATACCGTTGTACTCAGTAAAACAGGAAAATTGCAGTATACAGACAGAGTAAACTTTTCCGTCTTCACTGTTCATCTTGCAGAGACATTATTAGACACATCTTTACAGTCTTTTAACGTTTTTATAAAATAAACTCTAGCAGACATAATAATATTATGGCTTTTGAAATTAGGTATTACAATGCCAATTCATAACAAAGACGATATCGAATTCGTCACTGAATTCTCATGTTCTGTATGCTCGATATTATGAAGAAAATGTTAGGGTTCGGTATAACGGATATTATGAACAAAATGTTAGGGTTTGGTGTGACCAATATCATGAACAAAATGTTAGGGTTCTGTCTGCTCGATGTTATGAAGAAAATGTTAGGGTTCGGTATAATAGATATTATGAACAAAATGTTTGGGTTCGGTGTGACCAATATTATGAACAAAATGTTAGGGTTCTGTATGCTCGATATAAAGAACAAAATATTAGGGTTAGGTATGCTCGATATTATGAACAAAATGTTAGGGTTAGGTATGCTCCATATCATGAACAAAATGTTAGGAGTAGGTATGCTCCATATTATGAACAAAATGTTAGGGGTAGGTATGCTCCATATTATGAACAAAATGTTAGGAGTAGGTATGCTCCATATTATGAACAAAATGTTAGGGTTTCTATAATATTCGTAAGAATAGAACCTTTATACATGTAACTCCTCCCAGAACAGCAACAACTCCTATAGTCAAATAGATTATCAAGTACAATAGGTGGCAACAGTGAAATGGACCAATTATACATGACGTCACAAGTGTCAAATATAATAAGGAAGACAACATTTTCTCCTATTAGTAAACATGTTTTCCAAGATTAAATAAAAAAGTGTTAAAACATAAAATAAAGAACACAAAATTGCCTTTATTTCACTGTAAGATAAGAACTTTATTATCACAATTTTTAATAATTTTGTCGGACACATAAAACTGTTGATGCTTGTGACGTAAGATACAGCTGTACTGAGAGTATAATTTTATGTTGATATGATAATCTGTTTGCCTAAAACAATCCACAACCACCACTCAGTGTAGTAGCCAGCTATAACCATCCCTCAACCAACATTGTTATCTGGAAAAAAAGATTGTTCACTTTTTTCGTCTATGTTAAGAGTAACGAAGGTCAATTCAAGTTTAATGGCATGGCAATCTTTTTAAATTTAAAACAATGTTAAAATCTTGTTATGGCATTAATCAATTGATCCGGTCTACCGGTCTCCAAACAATTGATAAAGTTGAGTTGTGCCCCAACAATTGATTTAGTTGAGTTGTTCTCAAGCAGTTAATTTAGCTGACTTATTCCCAAACAATTAAGTTAGCTGACTGGTACCAAACAATTGAAATTAATTGACTTGTTTTCAAATAGTAAATTTGGTTGATGTTTCTAACAATTGATTTAGTTGACTTTTTTCCAAACAATTGATTTCTTTGATTGGTTCCAAACAATTGAAATTATTTGACTTGCTTCCCAGCAATTGATTTGGTTGACTTGTTCCAAACAATTGATTCTATTGAATTATTCCCAAACATTTGATTAGTTAGATTAGATCCCAAACAATTGATTTAATGGACTTGTTTTTAACAATTGATTCAAGTGACTTGTTCCAAACACTTGATTTAGTTTACTTATTCCCAAACAATTTATTTTGTCGATTTGTTCTCAAACAATTGATTTAGCTGACTTGTTCTCAAACAATTGATTTAGCTGACTTGTTCAAACAATTGATTTAGCTGACTTGTTCCTAAACAATTGATTTTGTTGAATTGTTCTCAAATTGATTTAGTTGACTGTTTCCCAAAAAATTCATTTAGTTAAATTGTTCCCAAACATTTTATTAAGTTGACCTGTTACCAAACAATTGATTTTGTAGAGTGTTCATTGGACAATTGATTTTGTTGACTTGTTCCCAACAATTGATTTTGTTGACTTGTTCCCGAACAATTGATTTTGTAGAGTGTTCATCAGACAATTGTTTTTTGTAGAGTGTTCATCAAACAATTGATTACGTAAAGGCTTTTAACATTTACACTTCGCCTGCAAGGAAAAAAAACTATTAAAAAATTCACTAATTCAAAAATAACTTGCAAACCAATACCGTATACATTATAATTAGTTTAAAATGTTAATTGAATTGAATGTCTGTTTAACCTTTAGAAGATAGATATCGTGTGTAACAACATTGATTGATTTTAAATAATTGATTTATAAATAATTTCTGTAAACAACGTCTTCGTATCGAGTTATTCACAAAATATACGACAAACCGAAATTTAAACTATTTTATGTCAGTGAATAGAAAAACCACTTCGATGTTTCTTGTTTCATGTATATTTATTTGCAAGTGTGGTAAAGACCTGGGCGAAAGCAGTTAAGGCTGCAGCCGGTGGGTCAACTTGTTTTCAGCTTTCTTTCCAGGTTTCCCGGCCTAAACAGCTGAAGGATAGGGGACGAAAAAGAAAGCTATATACGCTGAATTAAACTTATGATAACTCACGGGGCTATGAAGGAAATTCATTAATATAAGCCCGAGAGAAGAAAAACTATGTATCTAAGTGATATGTCGTTCACATATATATACATATATACTAGGCTTTTTGGAGACGAGACAACTTTTTCTAGTTCTAAGCAATCATAAACCTTCCCTGTGGGCATGTGAGGTCCCCCACATTTGGGCCCAATCGGTTCAGCCATTTTGACGTAGATCAGTTACAGACAAAACAAAAACAAAAGACACCCAGACAAGCAAAGAATATAAAAAGATGTTATTAGTATTTCTGATTTTAAAAAGCCGTTTGTATCCTCCTTAGTCCTTCTGAAATATTTTATAACTTAATAAGGAAGTTTAGTATTTATGTACAGTACATTATATACTGCAAAAAGTATTCGCTAATTAATATTTTTAAAGGAAGTGACCGGCTATGTAAGGTAGTTGAACTGAGGACGCAGTGTTGTGGAAAACTTCTTTAGGATTCATTTGAGACATATTTTACTTTTTAAAAGTCTGTAAATCCTGAGTTTGAGCGCAAATTTGATGTTCAAAACTCCTGATTTGGGGGTGGATACGCTTTCAGAATTAGTTTTTTTAAATTATTAATTAACGACGACATAAAATGTAAAAATATTCTACAATAAACTACAGACGTCATGTTTAGGAACATTTTGAGAAAATAAAAATTAATCTTATCATTGAAAATAAGTAATCTTGTTCAATTATTAGTTTCTATTATCTCATTCTAGTTTCTCGTTATTCACAAAAATGTTCGCAGATTTTCTATAATTATTATTGAAAAGGCGACATCTAAAGAATTTGAAGAAATCTGCGAATAAATTCAAAGAAAATTAGAAATATAATAATGAAAACGAAATAATCGATTTTAGCATTGATTTATTGACAAAGTTCTTTTGTGAAATATGTTCCAAGCCATCTAATTAGATTACTGTATAATTTTTACTTTATTTTTCGTTGTCATTATTTAATAATTTAAAAAAAACTAATTCTGAAAGCGTATCCACCCCAAAACAAGAGTTTTAAACGTCGAATTTGCGCTCAAACTCAGGATTTACAGACTTTTAAAAAGTGAAATATGTCTCTAATGAATCCTAAAGGAGTTTTCCACAACACTGCGTCCTCAGTTCAACTACCTTACATAGCCGGTCACTCCCTTTAAAAAAGAAAGGAAAAGTTCAATTAATAGGTATTAGGTACCAAACAAAAGTTATTTACAAGCATATTTGGGTTATATACAACGTAATAAATCAAGGCGTTTTCATGTTCCTATTCCCTGGTTCATGTTTACAAATATTTTGATATTTGTTACATATTGTGTACTGTTTGTAAACATACGCAGAACTTTCATACGCAGAGAAAAATTAGGTGGTGTATTTTTCGACCTACACATATCCGCCATACTCCATTTCTAACCTACGCCAAATCCGCTACTACACATCCGACCTACTTGCACGTGGTATTACCGCTGCTATATGGACTTGTGGCCGCAGCGCTCGGCCCAGAAATTATCTTAACCTAACCTAACCCTCAAATAATACTAAAATAAACAGCTGGCGTAGGTCCGATATTGCAGTAGGTCGGAAAGTTAGTAGGTCAGAAGTTCAGTAGGGGGGATGTTGCGTAAATAGACGATGTAACATTACCAAAAATTATCCAACAGTTGGAGGTTATTAACTGCATTTTTAAATCAGAAATACTTTTGAGGAAGTTGGTTTGGGACCGCGGAAATACAGTGAAGTTGGCAGGGCGAATAACATGTTGATGTGTTTGTATCTCTGTGAAGACAATTATTTAACCCTATCTCTGCTGGGGTACTTGAAAACCAGGATATGCTGGGGGGGGGTTTTGGGTATGTAGGAAAAGTCAGAAAATTTCAACAGCCTCAGACCAATACTTTTTGAGTTATGTAAAAAAAACTACAGGGGGGGGGGTCAAATTGACCCCCCCCCCCCTAGCAGGAATAGGGTTAATTGAGAGTAAGAAACCTTTATTATACAACCTACATTTAAACTATGCACTGTACACTGTACGGTGTAGTAAAGAAGTCAAAGGAAAAAACATCTGGAAATGAAAACTTTTATAATAAAGTCCCAATCAAGTCTTAGGATAAAATGTCACTGGAAATAAAATCCTGAGTATTAGACTCCTGGGACTTTTTTCCTAAAATAATATTGGGGCTGCCAATAAAGTCTCAGGAAATAATATCACAGAAATTAAAGTCCCAAAGAAAAAAGTCCCGAGTTTTTGGAAAAATGAAGTCTTGGACGTTTTCATTAAAAGGACTTTTCTTCTATGCATCTGCATATTGAATATAGCCAGGGGTGTTTTTAATATTAATCCCCTTTTTTCCATGGTTGTAAACATCCTTTGTTCCTATGCATTTTCCGCTATGCAAGAACTTTTTTCCTGAGACTTTTTTGTATAAAATCATACTGGAACCAGAAATTTTTTTTTAGAAAATAAAGTCTTTTTTTCCAGGGCATTTTGCCTGAGGACTTTTTAGTACCAAAATTTAGGACTTTATTTCTGAAAACTTTTTTCAGGGAACTTTTTTGAAGGTTACTGTACAGCTTGCAGTCCAAGCTGGCTAACAATCAGTACTTGTATGTCCATAACTTGGATAAATGTCTATTTAATGAAGCAAAATTCAAAACATTTCATCATCTTTTTTAGTGAGCATGTTATTTTTCCGTTTCAGAAATGATAATCTATTGAAAAGTATAACATATGAGGTTTGTTGGAAATGTTTAAAATTAAATAAGTTCTCTAAAAAAATAAATCTGATATTTCATGATAACTTGTAAAGGTTGAAAGTTTCCCATTTGTTGGAAAAGTTTATAACTTCTTTGTTGAATAGAAAAATAATCAAATTTTAAATATCAACGTTTTTCGTATTTTGTTAATGTTATTGATGAATTGAATATAAAGTTCATTGATTGATAGAATTATGAACATCAAGTTCATTGATTGATATAATTATGAACATCAAGTTCATTGATTGATATAATTATGAATATCAAGATCATTGATTGATAATTTTGAATATGAAGTTAATATTGGTTAAATTATACAGAGAAAGCCAAACTACCAATATGGAAATATTTTCTGTATCATGTGAAAATATTTTAATCAATTTTTTTGCTAAATAATTTCAAAAATTGTAAAACTTTGGAGCAGAGAAATTTACTAAAATTCAGTGAATACCAAAACACTGTGGAACAGCTTGATCATATATCTAGTTAGATTTTCTATTTATATATTCTACGACACATTATTATTGAAACAGAATAGAAAATAGGATTTAAGCCAGGACCCGCTTATGATCAATATGATTCTACCTATCTACACTGTTCTGGGCCACCGTACAATTTCAAGATATGTAGTTTTACAAAAAGGCTACAAAGCTGATACAGTTAAGTGGACCCTAGATTTTCGAGAATTTTTTAAAATCTCTGTATGGTGGATACTTTAGGTTTCATTCTACCAAATTTTTCGATCTGTCTTTTGTTCTGTGTTCATTCTTTTAAAAAAGTTAGAAATGAATCTATAGATCCCAAATCACATAAATTTCTCTTGAGGGGGGTAATTTATTTGGCGTACCATCCCGTTTTGCCTCATATGGTCTGTATTTTAGCTGTACCACTTGGCTGGCTAGTTGAAATTTGGACCAGTACATGAAATGAACTTGAATGTACTGTGAAATGGGGGGTCCTGAAGTAAGAAAATGAGATTCAATATCCGATTTCATATTTAATTGTCATTGCCTTCTATGAGATGACTAGCATCAAATTCTCCTTCTTTTGGGAGTTCCAAAATGTGGTGTGCTGTTTTTGTACAGAGAAACCCTTAATAACGAATACATCGAAAGAATTCATCAAATGTCGTATTCTTCACTTTCTGATAACGGAATGCTGCAGATATTTAGTGTTTTTATCAAATGATTATATGGAACTCTTTAAAACTATTCCCGCATATTTACCATGAATTTATTTATTTTCGCAAATACTGAAATTTACGTAATATAGTATAAAACTCATTAAAAAATTGTCAAGACGACATTTGATAAATTCTTCCGATATATTCGTTATTAAGGGTTTCACTGTACCTTAAGAGTTGACTTAAAAATTTAGAAATGTGTCTAAAATTCAAAATATTAAATGTTTACATTTTTAGTATCTCCGACAGTTTTTATGATACAAAGAGAGAGGCTAAATTTTACCAAGTTTTAAACACTTATAATGTTGCTCTATAGTCCTTTGACAACTATTATCTTTCCGAAAATCAAAAACAAATTGTAGATCTAGGGTTAGAAAATCTAATGTACAGCATGACACCCCACCGAGAAAATTATATCAAAACTTGTCTGCGATACATACATTTTAATTTAAAACCATGATTTAAGCTGCAACATTGCAAGGAACAAAGTTTCAACTATTTTTGTCTCTGGAAGTTGAGTTCGGTTTCATAGAAATAAACTCCCTACAATGTTCAACAAATTTTTTTGCGTTGTATATTTTGGAATGAAGCATTGATCTCCATCTTGTGGATTAATTCCTCTTTAATACCCCATAGTGATCCTACCATGCAGGCATAACTAGGGATGGATCAGAAAAACCTATGGGTCAGAAAACATATAGGTTATTTATCTTGATAAAAAAAACATAAAGGACAACATTCATAAACTTATATTCCTGAAAAAAAAAATTAATTATCATAAAACTTAGATTCAAAGAATTTAAAACCACGTTGCTTAACTGCCAAAAACAGTTTTAAGTGGAACCAACCATGTTTCAGCCGCCTCTCAAATTTAAGATGCAGCTTAAATGCTTAAAATTTGGTCTTTTGGTTTGTAAGAAAATGTTATATATAACTTTATTTCATGTGTTAAGATTTTGTATTCGTCCAGTACATAGCACAATAAATATATATTATTTAACTTATTTCTAAACATATTATTTTTTTTTAGTTTTTGTCACAAGAGATAATAAATATATATCTCTTAAAATTTAATTGTTTAAACATCAAGCATAATATTTGAATAATTATAATCAAGCATTTAGAGAAATGATGGATTACTGAACCATAGTTTTCTTCTATTTCCTCTACTCCTCTTCAAATACAGCATTTCGCTTTCTTAATTTCAATCCCTAAAACAGTTTAAATATAAAGGTACAGTAAACTAATATTTTTAAACAAAGACTTTATCCAAAAAAAAATCACATATGAAAGTGAAAAACTCACTCTGCTTGAAGCATTTATTTTACTTTAATATAACAACCAAAGAGTCTGGAACATTCATAAAAAGGTTGTCTGGGGTATGCATTTTTTAATCTCTTTGATCCGGAAAAGGAGTTCAAAGTGTACATTTAATGTAAATGTTCACAAATTATATGCAGTGCATCAAAATGATACAGTATGATCCCAGAAGTTTGGACATATCCATTAGAAGTTGTTCAATTAAAATTTTTCTTGCTATGTGTTATAGTATCAGTTATTTTTTTATTAAATATTAAAACATACAAAATGGTAGTTTGGAAAGTGAATATGTGGTAAATAGCATTTTTTTCCAGGGTCAAACAGATTTTAAAGCACACATGTGTAAAGTATGCTTTCAGTACTGTAGCATTAAACAAAATGTTGATTTTGCAATTTTTTGAATTAATTTTATTCTATATAAATATCCTCTGCTTTGTGATAAGAACATAAATCCTATACCCCACATGGAAGGAATGCTAAGAACTTAAATCCTATACCCCTCATGGAAGGAATGCTAAGAACATAAATCCTATACCCCTCCTGGAAGGAATTAAGAACATAAATCCTATACCCCTCCTGGAAGGAATGCTAAGAACTTAAATCCAATACCTCTCCTGGAAGGAATCATAAGAACATAAATCCTATACCCCCCTTGGAAGGAATGCTAAGAACATAAATCCTATACCCCTCCTGGAAGGAATGATAAGAACATAAATCTTATACCCCTCCTGGAATTAATCATAAGAACATAAATCCTATACCCCCCTTGGAAGGAATGCTAAGAACATAAATCCTATACCCCTCCTGGAAGGAATGATAAGAACATAAATCTTATACCCCTCCTGGAATTAATGCTTAGAACATAAATCCTATACCCCTCCTGGAAGGAATGACTGCATGAACTCCATTGGAACAGGAAATATAATTGTAGAGTTCTTCTCTGCTGAGATAGTGTTCAGGGTCTGCAGGTATCGCAGCTGAAGAGCAGCAGGACTAGTGGATATAATATCTGCTGCTTCCTTTAGGGCTGTGCTGCTTCTTTGTTCTCCTTCAGCAGCAATAACCTAGGTTGGTAAAATATTAAAGATAGATATTGAGGGGACTGTCAATTTTATTTTGTAGAGTGACTTGTCCTATTTAGAAGTATACTTTTAAAACTTTGTCTGTCTAAAAATCCAGAGCTTTTCACAAATTATGCATCAATTTTCTACTCAGGGGACGACTTTGAGGTGTCCCAACTCCTTGATCTTTGACAATACATTTCTTACTTTTTTATAGACATGTACATTTCAAAACTGTAATGTATTTTTTTCTAGCTTTAGTTTAAAAGTATGGGTATATACTTATTAAGAATGTTCAGAATTCATCAAGGTTTAAAAAATAAAAAATGACAATATTTACTCAAGTAAATGTTCTTATAAGAGTGCATTTTACCTTGGCCCTGGCCTCCCTTGTTGCTTCAGCTTCAGCAGCCATTGCTCGCTGCATTTGCTGGGGCAAACTTAATTTAAGAATATTCATTCATTCATTCATTCATTCATTCATTCATTCATTCATCCTTCTATCCTTCTTTCCTTCTATCCTTCTATCCTTCTATCCTTCTATCCTTCTATCCTTCTATCCTTCTATCCTTCTATCCTTCTATCCTTCTATCCTTCTATCCCTCTATCCCTCTATCCATCACGCTGCATATTAAGAAGATTCAAATTTTGTTAACAAACAATAACAAAAAGATATTCCTGTGGAAAACAATCATAAAGTTCATAAAAAATATTTTTAAGATTATTATTATTACCGAACATCCTTTATCTCAACCCTATCTACATGGACTCCCCAGGGCTCAGTTGCAATCTCCTAAAACATAAAATATAGCAATTTTCTAAAATATTGTTGCAATCTCTTTAAAAATTAAGTGACCACTGGAAAATAGCATAAAATAATAAGTATAAAGAAAGATGTAAATTTATATTTCATAAAAAGAATGGGATAAGCAAAACTTGGGGAAGGGAATAGAGGGGGGGGGGGTCTATTGCACCCTTGAAAATATAGTTGATGAGAAGGTAACCAAATACTTTTCTAGAATAAATATGTTTGCTTTGCTGGTTTCCGAATTTTTTTGCTACGTTTCAATGCCACATTTTCGGAAATGTTATAACATCACCTATCTTTCATAACATGTAATATATGCATATAAATGTCATTTTGTCATGCAATATGAGTTACACATGCTATTTGCCAAAGATGGTACATCATACATGTATATTGTACAAATTATTGTCTTATTAGGTAAATTAGTAAATTCCAAACTGTAATTTACCTACTTTGCTCTACTTACAAAATTTAGAATATTTAAAATGCTTGAATTTTTATAAACATTAAACAATGGACTTTTTTACTCACCAGATTCTTGTGCATTTTCTCTCCAATTGATTCTCTTTCAGATAATATCTCAGACAAGTTTCTAGTTCCCAATACATTTCTAAACAAGTTTCTAGTTACCAATACATTTATAAATAAGTTTCTAGTTCCCAATACATTTCTAAACAAGTTTCTAGTTCCCAATACATTTCTAAATAAGTTTCTAGTTCCCAATACATTTCTAAACAAGTTTCTAGTTACCAATACATTTCTAAATAAGTTTCTAGTTACCAATACATTTCTAAATAAGTTTCTAGTTCCCAATACATTTCTAAACAAGTTTCTAGTTACCAATACATTTCTAAATAAGTTTCTGGTTACCAATACATTTCTAGCCAAGTTTCTGGTTACCAATACATTTCTAGCCAAGTTTCTGGTTACCAATACATTTATAAACAAGTTTCTGGTTCCTAATACATTTCTATTTCTCAACAAGTTTCTGGTTCCCAATACATTTCTAAACAAATTTCTAGTTACCAATACTTTTCTAAATAAGTTTCTGGTTCCCAATACATTTCTAAACAAGTTTCTGGTTACCTATACATTTCTAAACAAGTTTCTAGTTCCCAATACATTTCTAAACAAGTTTCTAGTTCCCAATACATTTCTAAACAAGTTTCTAGTTCCCAATACATTTCTAAACAAGTTTCTGGTTCCTAATACATTTTTATTTCTCAACAAGTTTCTGGTTCCCAATACATTTCTAAACAAGTTTCTAGTCCTCAATACATTTCTAAACTATTTTCTAGTGCCTAATACATTTCTAAACCAGTTTCTGGTTTCCAATACATTTCTAAACAAGTTTCTAGTTCCCAATACATTTCTCAACTAGTTTCCGGTTCCCAATACATTTTTAAACAAGTTTCTGGTTTCCAATACATTTCTAAACAATTTTCTAGTTCCCAATACATTTCTCAACTAGTTTCTGGTTTCTAATACATTTCTAAACAAGTTTCTAGTTCCAAATACATTTCTAAACAAGTTTCTGGTTTCCAATACATGTTTAAACAAGTTTCTAGTTCTCAATACATTTCTTAGCAAGTTTCCGGATCCTAATGAATTTCTAACCAAGTTTCTGGTTCCCAATACATTTATAACCAAGTTTCTGGTTCCTAATATATTTCTAGCCAAGTTTCTGGTCCTTAATACATTTTTAAACAAGGTTCTGGTTCTGAATACATTTCTAAACAAGTTTCTGGTTACCAATTCATTTCTCAACTAGTTTCTGGTTCCCAATACATTTCTCAACAAGTTTCTGGTTTCCAATACATTTTTAAATAATCTTCTAGTTCCCAATACATTTCTTAGCAAGTTTCCGGATCCTAATACATTTCTAACCAAGTTTCTGGTTCCCAATACATTTCTTACCAAGTTTCTGGTTCCTAATACATTTCTAGCCAAGTTTCTGGTCCCTAATACATTTCTAAACAGGTTTCTGGTTCCTAATACATTTCTAAACAAGTTTCTGGTTACCAATACATTTCTCAACTAGTTTCTGGTTACCAATACATTTCTCAACTGGTTTCTGGTTCCTAATACATTTCTAAACAAGTTTCTGGTTACCAATACATTTCTCAACTAGTTTCTGGTTCCCAATACAATTCTTAACAAGTTTTGATATATGCTAAATAGTAAATACATCTCAAAAGTTTCTATTTCTTACTTTATTTTTTAATAGTTTTCTTTTCGAAACAATGTATGATATGGCAAAAATAAAGTGGATGTCGTTTATATCAATACATGAAAAAGACTTTCAATCTTTTTTCTCAAGTTTTCCAACAGCATGGATACTGTAAACGCAGACCACTGTAGTAAATAAGTATTTAATTAAAAGAAAAATTTAGTCGAATATTTTTTTTTAAAATTATACTTTGAAGAATATATGGTAAAGTTATACCTAAGTGTAGTAGCAGCCAGGAGCCTAGTAGACCGATTGTAATCATCATTGTTGCAAATAGCAGCCAAGGGGTTGGACACCTTAACAAAATAATCTAAAATCTTAAATCAGTCAAAATTAAAAGCAAATCAAAAGAAATTCTGTCTTCAACAAACATTCTTTACGACTTGTTTAAGCGCTAATTTGATATAGAGGAGTTTGAATTTCTTGAATTATGATCAGTTTAAGTCAAATATCAAACCATATGAAACCAACATAACATTTCAATCATTCTTTTAAAGAAATAGTTGAAGTGAATAATTAAGAAGTTTTATAATTTCTTAAATTATGATCCATTTGTTTATTTTAGTGTATCAGTGCATGAGATAAGGACATAGTTTAAACCTGTATTGTATGCTTTAAAGAAATAGTTGAAGTGAATAATTAAGAAGTTTTATAATTTCTTAGATTATGATCCATTTTTGATTTCAGTGTATCAGTGCATGAGATGAGGACATAGTTTAAACCTGTATTGTATGCTTTAAAACTTCGCCTGATACACTAAACAAAACGTTTCCTCGAAAATAAGCTGAAAAAAACTTTTGAATTTCTCCATATTTTGAAAACTGAAGAGCAGACTACATTTGGAAATCCGGGGTTCACAAGACCATCATGAAGATAAATGGAGATTGTAAGGTCGTCGCTCAATTTCCATGTTAATCTGGATGCCCTGTACCTGGTAGTAAACTACAGCTGGACACCCTGTACCTGGTAGTAAACTACAGCTGGACACCGTGTACCTGGTAGTAAACTACAGCTGGACACCCTCTACCTGGTAGTAAACTACAGCTGGAAACCCTGTACCTGGTAGTAAACTACAGATGGACACCCTGTACCTGGTAGTAAACTACAGCTGGACACCCTGTACCTGGTAGTAAATTACAGCTGGACACCCTCTACCTGGTAGTAAACTACAGCTGGAAACCCTGTACCTGGTAGAAAACTACAGCTGGACACCCTGTACCTGGTAGTAAACAACAGCTTGACACCCTGTACCTGGTAGTAAACTACAGCTTGACACCCTGTACTTGGTAGTAAACAACCGCTTGACACCCTGTACCTGGTAGTAAACTACAGCATCAACACTAACAGTAACACTGTCCTTGGTCAATATCTCCTGAGGAGGAACATCAAATGCTCCAGTTCGTAGATCAACACATCTAGGATAAATACAGGATGTCCCACGAAACATGACAGTTGGTGAATAGTTTAAATTGTCTGCTTCCATAATTAGTTAAGTTGTTTGATATTAAAGAGAATGCTAAAAAATATTGTATGCCAATTATATTATTGTTAAATTGGTTTTAAAGTAAAAATTTTTCGAGAAAAGATGTTTTTAGCGAAATGACATGCAAAAAGTCATTATTATCCAATATCATAAATGAATGAAGACATTCAAAACTAATCAACAACTGTCATGTTTCGTGGGACACCCTGTACAATATAGAAGAATTTGTTAGTTTATTGGCGATGTAAACGCATTTTAAGTGATTTTTCTTTTATATAGAGTGGAATGTCGGATTTTTGTCAACCATTTAGTTTGCAAATTACATAGACAAAGGGAGATACTAATAATAATAATAAATAAATAAATACTAAAAAGCTAATCGAATTGTGTTTGCTGAATATATAACGCCGGCAGTCGATTCTGTCTTCCATTTTTCAATGAAAAATGAATTCTTGAAAAAGTCTTGTAAAATAACACCAATACAAGAGAAATATATTTATTTATTAAACCTATATGTATCGATGCAGGGAACAATAAAGAAGAGTCCAGGTCCTTTAGCTCCTCCAGACTTCAGGCGTCCCAGACGGAATATAACAGCTCTTTCATATTCCTGGACTACCTACACAATATATTCCTGGACTACAAAGACAAGAATACATGGTTACCTTGATACAACTCCGGCTAGATACTGGTAGGGTGAGTAGGACAAGGATACAAGAATATTGTTACCTTGACACAACCCCAGCAAGATACTGGTAGGGTGAGAAGGACAAGGATACAAGAATACTGTTACCTTGACACAACCCCAGCTAGATACCAGTAGGGTGAGTAGGACAAGAATACAAGAATACTGCTACCTTGATACAACCCCAGCTAGATACTGGTAGGGTTAGTAGGACAAGAATACAAGAATACTGTTACCTTTACACAACCCCAGCTAGATACCAGTAGGGTGAGTAGGACAAGGATACAAGAATACTGTTACCTTTACACAACCCCAGCAAGATACTGGTAGGGTGAGAAGGACAAGGATACAAGAATACTGTTACCTTGACACAACCCCAGCAAGATACTGGTAGGGTGAGAAGGACAAGGATACAAGAATACTGTTACCTTTACACAACCCCAGCTAGATACTGGTAGGGTTAGTAGGACAAGGATACAAGAATACTGTTACCTTGACACAACCCCAGCAAGATACTGGTAGGGTGAGAAGGACAAGGATACAAGAATACTGTTACCTTTACACAACCCCAGCTAGATACCAGTAGGGTGAGTAGGAGAAGAATACAAGAATACTGTTACCTTGACACAACCCCAGATAGATACTGGTAGGGTGAGAAGGACAAGGATATATGAGAATATAGTGATCAGTAGAGAACAGCAACTATCTCCCTTAACAAACAAAAATTTAAAGGGTTAAAAAATTAAATGTAAAATGTGCCCTAAACGATTGACGATTCACGAAGGGGAATATCTCTGCCATTTTAAAATAGGAATTTAAAAATTTCTATAAATAAGATTTTTAGTTTTAATTTTTTTTATTTTAACTTTGAATGAACTCAAGTTATAAATTTGACTAAGTAGGATGGAATAATCAATGAACTAACTCGAATATTTATTCATTTAATTGAAAAAATGAAAGCCTTCATTGGCGTGTGTATTCTTAAAATCGATGGCCTCGAAAAACAACACACTGGGTGGAAATTTCCCCTGGTTCAATTTATGACAAAAGTATATTAAAAATAACCTAAACTGAAGCTTTGTAATAAATTAATTTTGCAAACATTGAAAGGTTTATTTTTTTAGTTAATGCTTTCTATTGAAGAAAGTTTGAAAAGAATATTATTAAAAGTTTCATGCGGTTCATGTATTTTTAAATGTTCAAATCGTAATTTACATGTTTTATAACATACAATTTTATTATAATAGGCTTCCAGGGTGCTTCGCACTCATCTTTAACTTGTTTTTTCGTTGATTTAAAAATCGAAATTTTTAAATTCTAACCATCCATACACCTTCCCTGGGATCATGTGAGATCACACACAATATTTGGGCCCGATTAGTTCAGCCGTTTTGACGTTTATCGGTTAAAAACAAACAGACAGACACCAAAACAAGTAAAATTTATTTATATTTATAAAGCTTCTCAAATTTGGGACGAGCTCCTTGAACGCCACTTTTTAATAAAGTTATAATTTGAGTAAATTATTAGAAAGGAAAAACTGTCGATATCGGAAACCTGTCCTAATTAACTAATTAAGGACAAAAATTAATTTCTGGAATAAATTTTAAAATCGGAAAAAACTTGTTTTTTAAGAAATCAACAATGAAAGGACTCTAATTGTTTGATGCAAAATCATGATACCCAATGAAAATCATCCAATAAAAATACTCCAATGGTCTGTATGGTCTCGAATGAGAAAACTATGGTCTCCAATGAGAAACCCATGGTCTCCAATGAGAAAATGATGGTCTCCAATAAGAAAACTATGATCTCCAAATGAGAAATCTATGGTCTCCAAAGAGATAACTATGGTCTCCAATGAATAAACACTGGTCTCAAATGATTAAACTTTGGTCTCCAATCAGAAAACTCTGGTCTCCAATGAGAATGTTATGGTCTTTAAAAAAACTATGATCTCCATTAAGAAAACTACGGCCCTGTAAAAGTGTGATCTCCGACATAAATATATTCTTTGACAATTAAAGTATGATCTCTATCATCAAATTTGTTCTCCATGAAAACAAAACTGGGATCTCTGACAATAGAACTGGGATCTCTGACAATAGAACTGGGATCTCTGACAATAAAACTGTGATCTCTGACAATAGAACTGGGATCTCTGACAATAAAACTTTGATCTCTGACAATAGAACCGGGATCTCTGACAATAAAACTGGGATCTCTGACAATAAAACTGTGATCTCTGACAATAAAACTGTGATCTCTGATAATAGAACTGGGATCTCTGAAAATAAAATTGTGATCTCTGACAATAAAACTGTGATCTCTGACAATAAAACTGTGATCTCTGACAATAAACTGTGATCTCTGACAATAAAACTGTGATCTCTGACAATAAAACTGTACTTTCTGACAATAGAACTGTTAATAAAGAATGATCTTTGATAACAAATCCCATGTTTTTCATTACCTCCGAATCATCATCATATGCAGTTCCATAGTTCTTCTTAAATCCATGAGAATTAGCTCCTGACACATCAGACACTGAGTTCCGTCCCATCTCCTCCTTCCATAAAAAAACAATTTAGTAAAGGGAAACATCGCAAATAATACTGGGGGTTTATGTTAAAACAAGATATTAATTTTACTTAGGCATGAACACAAGTTATGAGTTCCGTCCCATCTCCTCCTTCCATAAAAAACAATTTAGTAAAGGGAAACATCGCAAATAATACTGGGGGTTTATGTTAAAACAAGATATTAATTTTACTTAGGCATGAACACAAGTTATGACTTAATCCTTACAGAATTCTTAAACCCGGTATATTCCAAATCAAGTATAAAAGTGTAAAGCAAACATGCACCATCAGGGCTTCCTAGTTTATGCCAAGGTTGTAATGCAAGGAAAGTTATTTCAGAGGTGTACGCATCTTTTGTACTGCAGTGTACTGTCTCTGGGCGGTAATGTAAACACAAGACGACTGTCGAAGCCTGACATGGGATCCATCTTTCACATAAAAAATCAATGAAATATTCTGGTCATAGGAAAATATTATGTGAATTATCAAAATTATCAAAATTTAATGTTTTTAACCTCCTAGGATACTAAACGAACAATCATGCATCTATTGTTGTTTACAAATTCCGCCCAAAGAGAACTGATTTCAATATGTACGCAACTTTAATTAACTTTCCTTGCATTTCGTCCTTGGTTTATGATATGTAAGGTAAGATTTGCTTTTTTGAATGCGAACTCCTCCAGCGAGCTACATAGGTCACAGATATATTCCTCCCGTTAACCAAACAATACATCGCAAAACAAATTTTTGTTCAAAGAACATAAGGAAATATACGAGTTATACTCACTTGAGAAAGGTTTAGTTGCTTATGCTCGTCAGACATAGAATACATGAACAGTGGGGAACACTTTCATTAAACTGAAATCATTAATTACATGAACAGTGGGGAACACTTTAATTAAACTGAAATTATTAAATACATGAACAGTGGGGAACACTTTCATTAAACTGAAATCATTAAATACATGAACAGTGGCAAACACTTTAATTAAACTGAAATTATTAGAAACATGAACAGTTGGGAACACTTTCATTAAACTGAAATCATTAAATACATGAACGGTGGCATGAACACTTTCATTAAATTGAAATTATAGAACACATGAACAGTGCTGAACACTTTTATGAAACTAAAATCATAGAATACATTAACAGTATATACGGTTTGAACAATTATCAAACTGAAATCAAATTTAGAAGTTATTATTTTCTTCTAGCTGAATACTATTTTTTTTATATCATGTTACTCTGTGATAATTGAGTTGCAGACCAATTTACAGTTTTCAGAATTTAACACTTTTGCAGATAAAAAAACGATAATATCTTCCTCACTTTTATTTAGACAGAGGTATCCGTTGTAAAGAGAAAATTCAACTGCAAGGTAACTTTCAAATGTTTGTTATGATTTGTTTTTCTATGTAAATCCAATAATATTGAAACTGCTGCGTCGAACGGGTCCAAATTTTGTAAAGGGGCAACATTTTTTAATATCATATTTTTATGTTTGTTTGCGTTGTTTGAGTGTTTATTGGTTTTATTGGATCCAAACATCGTCGGAGTAAAAAACTTTACATACATAAAACAAATATCTTTTTTATTGTTTAAATAAAAATACGACGTAAAACTGTTTTATTAAAGTACGTTGTTAATTCCATGGAGAATACCCATTTATGTATTTGTTTAAGTCATATATGTGTATATATGGTAAAGCCCTACTCCATAACCAGTTCTCGAAATGTATCTATCCAGGTCAACCAGGACACAACCCACCTGGCTCTAAATGCCACACTGTAAGACTTGATCGTAATGCCTTCTCGTCTGCTGGTTGTCTCTCTGAACTTTCTGGTTTATTCTCTGGAACCAGTGTCCCAATTTAATGGATTTGAGCCCCGGCTGAAATCTGCCAAAAACCGGTTTCAATTGAGCGCCGGCTTAATTCTTGAAAAATTGAATACAATTTTTGGTGAAACCAACAATATTTGAGCCGTGGCTCAAATTCTTTAAATTCGGCCTCAGATTAACTTTCTTACTGTCCTTGCTGTGCCTGTCTTAATCCGTATTTGTTCTGGATACAGCTGTGGATTTTTCATAACATGTAGGTTTTATAGAATAGCTCTTTGGATGACTTCTCTTCCATTTTTTTATATCTTTACTTTGAACCTTTTTACTTACCCTTTTCTCCCAGCCTTCATGCTCATGTTGATTTTTCTCCTTAACCAACTTCCTTGATTCAGCAATTCCTCTCCTTTTATCTTGTTTTCTTCTTATCTCTTGGTCTCGACTCCTTTCTTCTGACTTTGTTTCCACTCTTTGTACTTGTTTTTCTGTGTTTTCCAACCTTGTTTCCACTCTGTTAGCTGTTTCTGCTGGATCCCCTTCTAGATATGTCTCTCCTTGATGTTTAGGGGTTGGCTCTTTACCCGCGAATTTAAAAAGTATGACTACTTCCTCTGTCAATTTCTAGTCTTGTTTTACTATCTCTTTACCATCTGTCTTTAAGTTTTTACAAATAAATGTTTTCTTTTTTACTTTCCTTTGTGGAATAACCTGATTTTTGTACATCATCTATTATCTTTCTTCAACAATATTAGCTCTTGAACTTATTACTATTCCTCTGGTACCATTGATTTGTTGAAGACGAAGTTCTTGTTTTCTTGTTCTTCTTCTCCCAGATTTATCATCAAACTCTTGGCAATGATTCTGAAGTCGGCATAATTCTGTTTATTCTTCTCTTCTTGTATTGAAGTTTTTGTTCAAATCTCAGCCTCAGGGCTTCCAATTCTCTGCACTATGAAGGTTTCCTCCAGCTTTTTCTGTTCATGTTTGGTATTCTGATGTCTGGTTCTTCACTGTGCCCTCTAGGGTATAATTCAAAACTGTGCATTGTTATACTCTGTTTGCACTGTTCGCAACTTGTTGCTTCATTGTTCCTTGGAGTCTGTGGTATTTGCTACTCCAAAACAAGTTCTTGAAGCATATCCATCCAGGTTTACCCCTTCTGCTATCAAAGTCAACCAGGACACAACCCACTTGGCTCTAAATGTCACACGGGGACACAAGAGTAACTATCCAACAAGCTATTATCAAACAGGACACAACCCACCTGGCTCTAAATGCCACACAGGGACACAAGCGTAGCTATACAACAAGCTATTAAATCAGTGCTCTAAATACCACATAAGGACACAAGCTTAGATATCAACAAGCTATATATATCGATCCAAAAGGATGGGTACAATCCAACCTGGTTATATCTCAACACAGGGTTTCAGTGATTTAAATCTCACACAAAGACACAAGCCTAGCTATCAACAAGCTCTATATATCGATCCCAAAGGATGGGGACGATCCAACCTGGTTATATCAACACATGGTTTCAGGATTACTCTCTTGCAGTAATCAGTACAAAGTTACTCTACAAACTGACTTTATTTAAACATCTTATGTCACAAGTTAACGTGAATTGACATAACTACAATGCCTACGTCGTTATCCATATCACATGATTAAGACATTCATATTATATATTTACTGTACAGTTAAAGTTTAATGTGCGTATTTATGAGATTAGCGCGCAAGAATAGATATAACGTAGTTAAGTTATCTCCACAAATATGTATAGTATAATTTAAGTATATCATCTGATTTAATGTAATCATGCTATATATTTAATTGAAACACAGTTTCAATGAATAATATCATTATGTATAAGTCTACAACGTAAATTGTTAATAATGTTAATAATACAATTTATCGGGTGGCAGGCATTACCTTACTGGTCCCACACAATATAGCTTTCCAGTATATTTAACACGTAAATATTGGGAAAACTCACATAAAAAATCTGTGTTTTTGACTTTTTATACGTCACCCCCCCCCCCCCCCCCCCCCCCCCCCCATGCACTAGAAAAATTACTGAACATAGTTTAAAATATCGAACACGTTGAGAGAATTGGCTAACACAGATGTCTCCTCATTGCATGGCTGGATATATTGCTGTTCGCTTCTGATTGGTTGAATAAAAACCTCTTTAAAAGCTGTGAGTATGCACATTTATATATTACGCGGGACAAATCAAAATGCAATTATCAAAATGAACCAATGTAATTTCAGATGATGGAATTTAATCCTAATCAGTTAAATATCTGATTAGAATAGATAATATAGATAATGAAAATAAATTTATTTCGTCCAAAATTTGAAGACGAAATAAATTTGTCATTTAATTTTCATGTTTAAAGAAAATACTCTCGTAATCATTGATTATTAACAACACAGATAAAACACTATATGTCGTCTTTTCAAGATTTAGGGGGTTTTCGTTCACAATAACCCTGAGGCAGAAGCCAAAATTAGTTACGCGCATGCTGCGTTAACCCTATCTCTGCTGGGGTACTTGAAAACCAGGATATGCTGGGGGGGTCAATTTTACCCCCCCCCTCCCCCCCCAGCAGGAATAGGGTTAAATTACAAGACAGACAGAGAGCCTATTCTACGCTCCATGCGCGTAAGAACTAGTTTCTAGTTTTCTATCTGCGTTGTTATTAATCTATGCTCGTATACCTAATATTAGTTCTTCACAACGTACCTTGAAACAGTTAAGATCAATAATTTCATTAACTATATTACTGAACATTTTGTAATTTGCAGCGGATTTGACTTATATACGTTTAAATATGTTATGGCTTCCAATCTTTTCGGGATAAATTCGGCTCTGTTATAGACCTTAAACTGAACCTTTCTTTAAGCTTTCAAGAATACTAATTTTTTGCCTGATTTTTTTAATTAATCTACCCCCTAGGTGCTACAAAGAGCTAGGTTTGCCATGCTCTTAAACTACTCCCTAGGTGCTAGGTGACCCTTCAGGAATGGTCTGCAATGGCTTTGGATTCAAATTGATACGAAAACAAGTTAAATTAATTTAAAAACAATGACGCCCATTATTCCACTTTATTTACAGGGTGTCCCAAGAAACATGGGAATTAAATGACGACTATCGTCTTTCTTTCATGCGGGATTTTTTAGTAAATATGATCATATTGATTGTATTATCACAGTTAAAAATACCGAAAACTACTAGCCTCGGGATTTCTAAAATGTGGTCTATCATTTTTCAGGAGTTGTCAGGAAATTTGTCCAAATTTCAGTTAATCAAAAATCAACAAAACTGTTCAAATGTTTTATATCTCCGTCAGTTTTTAAAGATACAAAGAAGGTAGACCATATTTTGGAAAGCTGATTAGACGTTTAATCTTTTTTTGATGCACTTTATGTCATTTCTCAATTATTGCAAATCAAAGACAATATTCAAGTCGTCTCTCAATTCCCATGTTTATTGGTACACCCTGTGATATAATAAAGCTTTCCGCTAATTTAAATAAAATATATTTGTATGTGAGCTATGGCTGGCCAAACGGCTAGATTGAAACCTACCCTAGTCTTTTGAAATTCGACATTTTTTCTCAAAATTCGAACTTTTCTTTCTTTAAAATTTGAAATTTTTGTTAATTAAACGGACAACACACTTGAGCTAGTTTAAGTTACGAGTGTAGAACTGTATAAAGAGCATTAACCTTTTACTTGAGGATTATCTGAGTAGAGAATATGAGAGGTTTGTATTAAAACTGTTTAAGTTGGTTGAACACCATATATTCTCTCTACCTGGAGATAGATTTTATTATTTACAGCCTCAGACATGGATATTGTATAATGTAGATAAATATGTATATATATATAAATACTTGCCTTAGAGGGCGCTTCGCGCCCATCTTCTTAATTAATTGTGAACATGTTCTCTTTGTGTACATCGTAAAACAAAACAAAAATAATTCGCGGATTTTCACAAAAAATTTCGTGGATTTTCAAAATTTTAAAAAATTTATTGAAGATCGAATTTCGATGGAGACAAATATTTGAAATTTTTTTCATTCATAAACCTTCCCAGGGGTCCCTAGATAACCCACAAAAAATTTGGGCCCGATCGGTTCAGCTGTTTTGACGTTTATTGGATACAAACAAACAAACAAACAGATAGACAGACAGACAAGCCAAATTTATGTATAGATATATATATACATGACACATGCATAAAATATATATTTTATACATTGTACAGTGTATTTTCTCCAATAAAAGTGTTTTATCACATAACATATGCTTAATGATCTAATAAGTCTGTAAAATGTCTGTCTTCATGTTCTGAAATTTATCATAAAACTAGACTTAAATAGTTTTAAAACGAAACAAAAATGCACAAAAACCTTAAAATATGTGTAATTCGTAAACGATGATTAATGATTATGTAAAAATACCGCCACAACTCTTAAATTAAATATTTACATATAAAAACATTTCGGGTATCAAATATAATTATGGGAAACGTTTAACTACTCTGTCACGAATAAAAGAAAAGATGGAACCAAAATTTACGTTTCAGTGGTTGTCAAGGCCAACAGAGGACCGGAAAGCTGGAAATTATTAATTATTCATTTGATCACAAAATAATATTTAATTTCATTTTGTCAAAAAACATATTGACAAAGAACGCAATTCTAGAATCGAATTGATTTGTGTGCCATGCTTATACACGGAGCTATATATATTCTATACATTTATATAAGCTTTGCTTGTTTATATGTCTGCAGTGTGTTTGTCAAAACGTCAAAACGGCTGAACCGAACAGACCCAATTTTTTTACGCGACCTCACATGATCTCAGGGTAGGTTTATGGATGTTTAGAATTTAAAAATTTGCCGTAAAAATTAAAAAAAACTTAGCGTTCATCTTCTATTTCCACTTTAAATTGTTGCTCAATTTTTCTTCATTTTCTTTTCGAAAAACAACAAAAATTGTTGATGCTTTACCATTTTTACGAAAATCAAAAATTTGTGGAGACTGTTTTTGTGTCATTCTGAGCATCCATAAACCTTCCCTGGAGTCATGTGAGGTTGAGGTCCCCAAGAAAGGATTATTACAGTCTGAAATAAATTTTTTGCCTCTAATAGATAAGATTGAAATTTCAGTAATCCACAGAAAATCTGTATTCAGAATTAAGAAAAAATTTAAAGTAAATAATTAAAAGTTATAATGATTACTATTAAACCCTCTTTACATTACATGCACATATATTTGGCTTGTTTATAAGTCTGTTGATTTCCATTAAACGTCGAAATACCATTACCAATGAGAAGTCCGTATTGGGTTCAGGAAACTACAAGTTTGATTGAGGTTTTTCCTTATCAACCATGACAATAGTCGACCAGAGGCCGAATTTAAAGAATTTGAGCCGTGGTTTAAATTTAAGCCTTAAAGCCGCGGCTTAAATATGGTTGGTTCCACTTAAAATTGTTTCAAATGTTTCAAGATTTAAGCCGGCGCTTAATTTAAACAGGGTTTTGGCGGATTTAAGACGCGGCTCAAATTCTTTAAATTCGGCCTCAGATGACATCTCCGACTATGTGCGTTTTTATTATCTAATATTAAATAAGAATCTAGTGTCACTGTAAGCTCAAACTATCGTCCCCCAAAGTACGTAAATACTAAATAGGACGGACGTTGTTCATACATTCGTTGAAAAAGAACGGCCTCTGAGAAAGAAATATGGTCTAGAGTGACTGACTGAAATGTTTCTTCCATTATTTCAATTCAATATTTATATATTACATTACACAGGAAAAATTTTAAGTGACTTGATGTGTCGATGGCGAATATGTCGGCTAAATAATTCTGAGCAATTATATGTTCGACTTGGGTTTGCCGGAGACATAAAAGTTTGCAGGGTAAATATACGTCAAATAAGAAATACAATTATTATATTTACCCCTGAGAACTAAAATATTAATTTTCCGCCAAGGTCTTATGATTTGTTAGTGTTGTACAATTTATGATTTGCAGATTTAAAAAATTGTTTATATAATTCCAATTGTTACCAAAAATTCATTAATCGTTTAAAATTGCCTGAGTATGCAATAATGTGGAATTAATTATATCAAACTTTTGAATCTGTCAAATAAGCAAAAATAATGGACGTAATTATTGTAATACTTTGAATTGCTCCAATACTACAAATGTTATATTTTTTCCGCAATGAGTTGAGAAAACGTGACTTTGTACTTTGTCCCTTTAATAAAATACAGCAGAATCAGTTAAAGGAGATCCTAGGGAAACCCC